GTTTATTTGGTACACGACGTAAAACAAAAAATAATGATGATGATATATCCAAAATGTGTTAACGAACACGCTTTAAACGATCGAATATAAAATCAAACAAAAATGACTGAAATTAAAACTACAAAAATCAAAGAAATAAAATATGTGGGAGATTCGAAAAAGAATACTAATAGAGTTTCTGACAACCATTTTATCAATTCAGTTATTTCGAAACGACTTTAAAACTATTCTTTCGGTTTGTTAACAATAATTTCCCGCAATTATGTTCAAATAAATTACTAAGTCAACTGTATTTATTTACTTTTAGAAATTTAAAAAAGATTGATCTTATGGTTTTAACTTTATTTATGTTAATGATTGTGTCATTGGTTATTTAGTTTTTAAATAATCATATTAAGTATATTTTTGTATTTATTTTTTTGTAAGTATGGAACATTTTTCATAAGATAACTACTTTAAAAATAAATTAGTTTTATATTATAAAAAACTTTTCCAAACTGACTATATTTTCAAGCTTTGACATCATTATAACATTATAATAATGTGATGACTATTCGTTTTTATTAAAAAATACGTTGTTGTTTAAAAAATGTTATAGTTTTTTATTATTGATGTAATGCACAACCAGGAGTATTCATTTTTTGTCAAGTTTTTGTTTTTTATAACAAGTAGCCAGTGTTAACTTTTTCCCATAAAAACATTTTTTTTCTTTAAAAGAGACTTAAACAAAAAAACTTGAAAATAATTTGAATATTTCACCAATTTTTTGACTAAAAGCAAAGTTTTCTTTTTTTTATTTTTTAATTAAATATATTTTATTTTTATGTTGCCATATACCAATTCTAACAATAACAAATATCAAAATGTTGACAAATTCATTAAATTAAAACCTATTCTAAATAGTAAATTAAAAATAATAAAAATTATATATAATAGTATATAATCACGATAACAATTTAGACATTATTGTGTAAAAACAAATAGAACATTTGGTACAATAATTAATTATAATATATTGGTTTAAACACATAGTTGAATTTTTTAAAACAAAAAACTTCGAAAACGATCGATAAATTTTTTTTATCGAAGAAAGCAATTATAATAAACAATATATAGTTATAAAACCGTTTATAATAAAACACTAAAACAATTTTGTATATTTTTAAAAATACATAAATGCAACCAAACGAAGTCTATTCATAACATTAGATTAATTTAATCATTACTAATGATACAAAGTCATTACATGTTTTATTTGTTTAATAAATAAAAATAATTTATTGGATATAGAAAT